CAGTGGCGGATCCAGACTTTGAGCTAAGGGGAGGGCCCGGTTTAGTTTTACTTGCCCTGCCGGCTTTTCTGCGTTCAGTCATTTCTTCTTTTTTCACCCAAAATAAGGGGGGGCCCAGGCCCGGGCCCCCCGGGCCCCTCCCCTAGATCCGCCACTGTAACTGTTAATAATAATTATTATTTAAGGTTGAAGTTAATCTTGTGTACACAGCCGTGTACGCATCATCTCAGACACCATGCAGGCTTCATAGGACGAATGTTCAAGTGCTTTTCAAGATCAGGGCATTGTTTTTTGATACTAACAAATATCCACTGTGACCTAAAATCAAATAATTTATCTATCTAGGTGATCTAGCCCTGACCCACTCAGTCAACAAGCTCATTACAACCTTTCAGTCTTATGATCAAGATCCAAATTCTCTGAACTCTTTCCATAAATTTCCAATAGTTCTTCCTGGGAGAAATGAGTATTTAATCAAGACATCTTACTGGAAGTGATCACATTAATCATTGCCAAGGAAAAATAAATGAAAAGGAACTACCGAGCACAGGAACATAAGAATGAAGACATCATCTTTGAGTTGATCATTTAATATAACATTCCACAGGGGCGACTCCCATATAAAAAGAACAGGGGTGCTTGTTGTATGTTTCAGGATATAAAAAGTAGTTTTGGTAACTCTTAGGGTGATCAGCCTAAAAAGGTCCATGGTGAGAGATAGTGGAAGCTTTTGCGGTACCTTTTAGGGTATTGAGCCGAAAAAAAACACACACACACATGACAAGAGATAATGTTGTTTAAGAGTTAGTACCTCTAAAGAGTGAACAAAATTTCAAGCCACGCCCACAAAGGAGGATCTTGGTACCTCTTAGGGGTTATTTTCAAAATTTCCAACAAGCGCCCCTGTCCTTTTTATATGGGACTCCCCACCCCCAGGATAACAATATCAACACCTGTCCCCTTGACAATGCTGTAAGGAGAATTAAATTTTGATCATTCTTGCAAGGGGAGGGAGGAGAAAGGTTCACGCACAACTACAGCTACTTGCCAGGAGTGAATCCTGCGGGGCACACTTACAACTTTTTTATCAGCCAATTTTGCTCCTTTTGGTGGCTCGCAATATTTCCTTACCCACTTCAGCACAAAAGCAACAAAAAAAGAAAAAAGAAAATAAACTGCAGCAATAGAGTGAAAAATGAAGAACCAGGCATTAACAGTGAGAGTGTTTAGCTATGATTAGGTCTGAAGCATGCAGTAGGATGATTAGCATGATTATAAACCTGCATTGTGTGACGTGTACCATGTGGCCTCATGTCCCACCAGCGACAATGAGGATGAGTGTGCGAGTGTGTGACACCATTATTTTGTACATGATTGTTATAAAACGGTACAAAACTCTTATGGTTGCATTATATACACTTAATATGTGCTTATTCATCACAAACAGAAAGAAAGTGAACATATATTATATTATTACCTCCTTATCAAGGCCTGGATGGAACAATACAAAACCATTGTTGTTGATTGCAAAGCCATAGCCATTGACCCCAACCTGACAGGAAGAGATTTTTAAGATCAACAGCCATTTAAAAAGCAGTACTTTAAATTTCAAAACTACTCCTTTTGCACGTTGTTAAACTACACACACACCTATCTGTGTCAAAAAAAGGTTTGATCTGTGGTTTGAGAACCAACAAAGATCACAAATAAATGACCACCAACTGAGAGAGAAATTTTAGAAGTCTCTCCCTTTGCTGGATAAAAAGTGAATAAACACCAGAAATGGGAATTTGCATATTGTCATTCAATAATGGAGAAGTGCCCTTTTTATGTCTTAACATCCATCAAATGGCTTTACGTCCTTTCAACAAAAGGGGAAAGAGTTTTCTACTAGGCTTTTCCGCTAGATTTGTCACTAGGATGCAGTGTGTCCACATTCACGACCTCAAACTTAATGAAGCCCTGTATAATTACCTCACCGCCCGGGATTGAGCGTTCAAGCTGTGGTAGGGCCACATCAGTTCCTACAACACCCAGCAGATCTCCTTTGTTCTCCTAAGATTTAAACAGAAGCATGTCAATCAATATCCAGGAGTGATTTGGTCAAAAGAAAGGGTCTTGGCTAACATAAATCAGAAGAAATCACATCTGGAGGGGAATGGTTGTAATATCTCACAAACTTCTTTGTTCTATGTTCTTGTTCTCTTTTTTGGCCTTGACCATACACAAAACACAATTGTTGTTTACTTCTGACTGAGGAACTAACAAATGGAAACATTTTAGCGATGTAATTAATGCAAAGTATACAAGCGTAAAACAAAAGATTGTGCACAATCATGGAGCTTCCAACTTTTGATATCTAGTTTTGCTTCTTTGATGTTTGCAGGGGTTCAAAACCATTCCCCTCTATTAACTTTGTGTAGACTAAGGAATGAAAAATATAATTACTTTCTTTTGCCTTAAATCCCTGACATTTGGAATCAAAAAATAATTTCAATCTGGCAAAACTCGGGCCCAATATATTTTAAGCAACTTTTCAAGTACATTTAATATGATTCTGTTTTGAAGTCTGAGTGGTTTATCATGCCGGTGCTTAATTTTTGGCATTTGAATCCAACGAGCTACTGACTTAACACTTGTATGTAGAAAAGGGATTAACTAAAAACAGTTCTATCCTCTTCTTTTTACACAACACTGTGAAATTCTGACTGGGAGTTTTCCAGAATAGGTGCAAAGAGAGAACTTTGAAGGGATTTTCCTGGGACATCATAAAAAATAGGCCATTTTACAGTTGTGTGCTTAGTTACCTGGCGTATGAATGCAAGCAAGGCTGGAGGCGACCTTGCTTTGATACAGACCTCCCTGCTTTTCTCATTTACATGCCAACTAGTTAGCATAAGAACAACATGATTTACACAACAAAAGCAGTGAGGTCTTTATCAAAACAAAGTCACCTGCTGCAGCCTCACTGTCATTCAAAGGCCAGGTCACTGAACAGACAACTGTAAAATGGTCTATTCCACAATTCCAGAAATTTTTCAGGACTAAAACCTGTCAACAACCAGCCAATGCTAGATCCTGGACTGGAGACCAATGTGCCAACCTTATGTCTCTCTGCCTTGCACATGGCAATCAAAAATGAGAATACCAGTTTTAAGCCTGGAAGTAATTCAAGAACCACATATAACACAGTAAAAGACACCATCAAAGTAACATCACAATACTTACAGATATATTAAAGACTGGAGCCACAAGTGTGATCATTAAACCAAGACCCTGGACAAAAACAATGACCAGAAAAAATTTTCAATTATATTCTACCAGCCAAATGCAGTGCAGTTAAGTTTGATTGTAAAGCTTAAAAAAAAACCAGAATCATCAAGTTTTAACCCTTTACCCCCTGAGGCAAATGGCAGTTTTTCTCAAATCAGCAAATAAAGACTCTCTGCTTGTGTACAATATACCATTTGAAAGTCACTGATCAGCTTATTTAAGAACTGACATCAGCAGTTATGAAAGAGGTAGTCGTTTTGAGAGAAATTGTTTTAAAATGTGAAACTGAAAAGCTTCCAACATGCATTAATTGTCAAATATCATAGGTATGCCCCTGAACTATAGCTAATTAAGCAGTACATAGCTTGATGTGAGACAAGTCTTGCATTCCATGTGCATCTCAAAAAAGAAATTGGAAAATAATGAGGGTGCATGGTCAACCATATCTTAAATAGGAGGGGGTCACAATTTTATACCTTCAATGAGCAGATCTTTACAAAGCAATTTTCGTGGCAAAAATGCATAGAAATCTCTCAAATATTCACAAAGTTATGACTTTGTGTGCCAAATGGCACTCTTAGGGAGTAAAGGGTTAATTAAAGGGGATGCACATGACTTTGAAAGGTCTATGATAAATATATTGCTTCATATTCAAAATAAGTTAATGGGGAACTTTGATCTCACTATCATCAAAAGAAGTCTCAACTGGAGTAAATAAATAAATAGAGTAAATTTATGTATCTCACCAGTCTATCAAGGTAAATAGGCGTCCAGGATGGATCAGGCCCACCTGGAACAAAGCCTAATGGCCGACTGAGCACTGACACATATGACTAATAAAAAGAACCAGAGAACATATTGGATTGTTTGCAATGAAATACAAAACATGTTCCATCTTTTTAAGTTATAGAAACACCACTGTAAGTTTGGGAGAACGAGAAATGCTGTGGGAACACAAGCCGATAGGCGAGTGTTTCCTCAACTTTTTCGAGTTCTCCAAAACTTCCATGAACTCCTGTTTCACATCACAATCTATAACTCTTTAGAAACATGAAGAACAAGTTTTCCATATCTCTTGTGAAAATACTGTGATGAAAGAAGAAAACAACTTGTTTACTTTGATCATCAAAATGTAAATTCCCTATGCTCAATATCTTCCTCAACGGTTCAATCCGACAACACATTTACTCGCTTTCGTAAACATCGTTACGTTCGCGTGCAGCTTCCGCACACCCTTCAGCACACGTAGAAAGCTTTTGCTATCTCAGGATTTCCTCCCACAGTTTTTGATCAACGGCACACCGGATCGTAACTAAGGATGCGTGAAAATTTTGGAAAGAACCTCTAAGATGAACCAAGATCCTGTGTTGTGGGTGTGGCTTGAAATTTTTTTCTATCCCTAGGAAGAACCAATTCTAAAACAACACAATTCTCCTGTCATATTTTTTTGGTTCAGTATCCTAAAAGGCACCGCAAAAGCTCCCGCTGTGGACCTTACGAGGCTGAACACCCTAACAGAGACCAACAGGTTAGGTTAGGGGTGCTTACCACTTACAAAAACCATCCGGTTGGAAATTTCAGGCATAAACATTAAACAATTAAATTGAACATTGCGGGAGAGGGAATCGCTATAAAGTATATCCACATCAGCTAGAGAGACTTATAAGAGCAGAAAAATAGCATCAACCCAAATCACAGCCCATATTTTCTGAAGCTTCCCACACGGAATGGCGCGAACCATTTGATTTTCCAACTGGAATTTCCGGTTTTCCCATGTAAATGGTAAGTACCCTAGGTTAAACCCTTAAAAGGTAAGACGACCACCCCAGTCCTTTTTACATGGGATTTCCTCGAGTTGGTCACGGTAACTTGAAAGTAAAGTTGTAGCTCGGTTTTCTTTGCTTGTGTTTCAATTGTACACAGTTTTTAGCGAACATATCATTCTTATGATTGCAGCGAATCGTTCAGGCGCTCAATTGTTCAGACCTTCAGAAGTTACTCAGATATTTGAGTTTCGTGAATTANCCCTTCAGCACGCGTAGAAAGCTTTTGCTATCATTTCAGGATTTCCTCCCACAGTTTTTGATCAACGGCAAACCGGATCGTAACTAAGGATGCGTGAAAATTTTGGAAAGAACCTCTAAGATGTACCAAGATCCTGTGTTGTGGGCGTTGCTTGAAATTTTTTTCTATCCCTAGGAGGTAGCAATTCTAAAACAACACATTATCTCCTGTCATATTTTTTTGGCTCAATATCCTAAAAGGTACCGCAAAAGCTCGCGCTGTGGACCTTATGAGGCTGAACACCCTAAGAGAGACCAAAAGGTTAGGTTAAACCCTTAAAAGGCAAGACGACCACCCCAGTCCTTTTTACATGGGATTTCCTCGGGTTAGTCACGGTAACTTGAAAGTAAAGCTGTTGCTCGGTTTTCTTTGCCCGTGTTTCAATTGTACACAGTTTTTAGCGAACATATCATTCTTATGATTGCAGCGAATCGTTCAGGCGCTCAATTGTTCAGACCTTCAGAAGTTACTCAGATATTTGAGTTTCGTGAATTAAATGTGTGTTAACCTGAGTTATACGAGTTATATTACTGGTTCGGCCCAGAGTAGTTTGCCACTACGTAGACTAAGAATTAATTTCTTTTCATCCCAACACAAGGTATGCAACGTTTCGTAGTTTAAAAACGTCGCAATGAAATGCAAAACCCGGATGGCCAGATGGCAATTTTAAATGCAACTCAAGGCATTACACTAAACAATCACTAAAGAGAGTATCTCACCTCCGAGCTATTGCATTTATTCTGTAAAAAAAAAAAAACAAATATAAAAAACTTTTAATAAATTGAATCTTCCAGTAAGACTAAAATGTTTTCTAAAACCAAACAGAAAATATTGCTACATTACTTGGGCAATGGCTTCTAAGAATGTTTCTTTCATTTTTTCCTGATCAAACCGCATTCCAGCCACTGTAGATAATTAACAGAAAGTAAAACTGAGTTGGTGCTTTCCATGAATATGAAGAGATGTCCATCCATCCGTCCGTCCGTCCGTCCGTCCATCTGTGTGTCTGTCTCTCTATCTCTCCGCCTGCCTGCCTGTCTGTCTGTCTGTCCGTCTGTCTGTCTGTCCGTCTCTCTGTCTGTCTGTCTCTCTGTCTATCTCTCTGTCTGTCTGTCTGCCTGTCTGTCCGTCTGTCCGTCTGTCTGTCTGCTTGTCTATATGCGTTTCTATTTATTTGTTTGTGCAGACTATATACTAGACTGAAAGAATAAGTGTGACCATATTTACACTGTAGTTTAAGTACGAAATTGAACGGAAAAATACATTGGAAGGAAGATTTCTAGGCCAATTTCTTCCAAACGTTAAAATAAACAAACGTCTTTCTGCAGCACATCAAAAGAAGGTAGGTAAAAGATAAACCCAAGTGGCTCATCAGGCCGAAGCTTATCCCCGTTTCTGTAGCATGAAGAGACTAGGAGTATTTCTACTCCCGCCTGGATGGGATGCTAGTCCATCGTAGGGTTACCCCCCAGCACTAAGTTCGCCGGTACCCATTTATACACACGGGTGGAGAGAGGCACTGTGAGAGTAAAGTGTCTTGCCCAAGAACACAACACAATGTCCCTGGCCAGAGCTCGAACCCGGACCGCTCCACGCAGAGACGAAGTGCACTAACCATGGGCCCACTGCGCCTCCAGGAAAAAATTAAGGTTACTGATTTTTCCCAAGAACTTTGTCTAAAGAATAACTAGCCATAAAAGAACATTTCAACAAACATGTCATCCGCCATAACTTACCTGCAGCAACAACACTGTTTGCACCTTTCTTTACGACAACAGGGGAACTGGCAGTGATCATTATAGTCTCGTTGACTTCAGCTTGGTAATCCGAAGAACTCATACTGAAGGGCGTGGAGAAAACAATAGTCTGGTTGTCTCCCTTTCCCTTGTTAGCGTACTGCGCAGCTTGGGTGTAAAACTGTTCCTTGATGTAATCCCGGCTTGGAAATGGTGTTGTTGATCTGGAAGAAAAAGGAAAAATGAAAAGATTGTGGAATTCAGGCCCGCAGAATGTCCAAGCTGACTTCAGCACATACAGCCTTACAGCCAATCACTAGTACTTTGAGTTACTTCAAATGGTTACAATTCACCTCTGCAGCATGACCGTCTCTCGTTTAAGAGAAAAACGGTCTTTTCCTCTTTTAAGGTCCCATCCACACTACGCCCAGCGAAGAAGTCTGAAAACGCAGCTTTATTTCTACGGTTAGGCCTACCGTCCACACTAATCCGTCACGAAAACGGAGCTTTTCTAAAATTTTCTTCGAACTGGGGGAATTTGAAAACTCCGGCTTTGCGTTTTAGTGTGGACGGACGGAAAACATTTTGAAAACCGTGACGGAGTTTTTCGAAAACGATGACGTCACGATAATCACGTGATTTCCCCGGTCCGAGTTTTCCTCAAACACAAATCCAAAATGACCGCTGACTGTTGCGTTTTTAAATTGCTCAGTCGCGGTGTGTATGGAAAACATTTGATGCGTTTTCAGAGTGAAAACGCCGTTTTCAAATTTCTCCGACGCAGTGTGGATGGAAAACATTTGATGCGTTTTCAGAGTGAAAACGCTGTTTTTAAGCATAGTGTGGACGGGGCGTAACGCAAGATGCTTTCTCGAGCAAATTAACATTCCATAGATAAAACAGGAGACGTTACACTGACGTCAAATGACGTCATCGTGCAAATCTTCTCTTGAAAACATCTCGTCATCTACAGAATTGTTCATAGTTTCCGGTTCCGTTTGAATTCTATATTCAGTACTATAACATAACTAAAGCAAAGCGCGCGCTCTGATTGGTTAATTTAGCGTCTACTA